CAGTTAGAGATTAAGAAATGAGGTCACATTCCTTTTTTTTTTTTTTTTTTTTTTTTTGAGACCGGGGTCTCGCTCTGTCGCCCAGGCTGGAGTGGCAGTGGCCGGATCTCAGCTCACTGCAAGCTCCGCCTCCGGGTTCTCGCATTCTCTTGCCTCAGCCTCCGAGTAGCTTGGGATCACAGGTGCCCACCACCCACGCCCGGCTAGTTTTTTGTATTTTTAGTAGAGACGGGGTTTCACCGTGTTAGGCCAGGATGGTCTCATCTCGCTGACCTCGTGAATCCGCCGTTCTCGCCTCAAAGTGCTGGGATACAGGCTTGAGCCACTCGCCCGCCGGTCAATTCTTTAATGTTCAAAGCACATGACTTAGATGAGGGTGTCATGAGCCGCTTATCATGCCTCACTTTCTCTTCTCTCACCTGGGGATCTCCTCTGGAAAATCTCCACACCCCCTCCCCTGGGGCCTGGCGCTGGGGACAGTGTCGTTACTCTCATCTTCAGAGAGAAAATCAGGAATTCTGATTCTTGGTGCTCCTGCACCTTGGTCACTAGGTGTCACCAGTGGTCCTGCGCCCACCCAAAAGAAGGAGGGCCACACCAGGTTGGCAGGTTCTGGGGACAAACCTGGGAGGCTGGCGGTGGAGGGAGAAGTTGGCTCCCTGAGGGAGGTGAAACTCACACACAACCGTACTGGGACCAGATCAAGGTGTCGGTGGTGGGGGAACGTGGGCGATAGGGTTCTGGGACATTTGCTGTATGACTGTGACCCGTGTGACCAGTTTTGGTCATCTAAAGGAATAGTTTCTGCCTACATCCTGCCGAAAGAAGTGACTTTTGGAATGGCCTGCCCTCTTTCTCAAAGGACCCCGGCAGGCCAGGCCCCCTTGTGAAAGGGAGATTGTTGGATGTGGCAGGCAGCCCCCCTTGTGAAAGGGAATTGTTTGATGTCAGTGCTCATTCCCAGAGCCTGAGTTCTTAATCTTCCCCGTGGTCACCCACCTTTGAGGGAAAGTGGCCTCAAAGCAGGAGCGGTGACAGACCTGAGTCCTGGTCCCCACGCTGCTGCCCGCTTCTGGTGTGACTCAACTTTCCATTCCCACCCCCAACTCCCGCCCAGCACCTGTACCAGAGAGAAAATAAGACCCGCTACAGACTTTTGTGACTTTTTGCTCTTGACGCTAAAATAAGATTTTACTTTCCTGACAGCTCAGAGTACAGTAGGGGCTTAAATACTTGCTAGCTGACTGAATACTAGTTGGAGGGTTATTAATGTAGGTGGGGGAGAACTGCACTTTCTTTCCAGGTGAGATTCAATCATAGGTATCTGGCCCCCAACTTCCTGGAGTCAGAAAGAGTATGGTTTCATCATAGCCTGACCTCCAATCAGCTATGTAATGCGGTATGTCACTTAATCCTTCTGAGCCTCAGTCTCCTCGTATACAAAATTAGAGTGATATCTAACTTTCAGATGGGCTGATGGTTAATTTTATGTGTCAAATTGGCTGGATGATGGGTGTTTCCAGATATTTGGTCAAACATTATTCTGATGTTTCAGTGAGGTAAGGGCATTTCTGGATGAGATTAAGGTTTAAATTAGTTAATATATATATTTTTTGAGATGGAGTTTCGCTGTTTTTGCCCAGGCTGGAGTGCAATGGCATGATCTCGGCTCACTGAAATCTCCACCTCCCGGGTTCCAGCGATTCTCATCCTCCCCAGTAGCTGGGATTACAGGTGCCTGCCACCATGCCCAGTAAATTTTTGTATTTTTAGTAGACACAGGGTTTCACTACGTTGGCCAGGTTGGTCTTGAACTCCTGACCTCAGGTGATCCGCCTGCCTCAGCCTCCAAAAGTGCTAGGGATACAGGGGTTAGCCACCATGCCTGGTCATGGATTTTTTTTTTTTTTTTTGAGACAGGGTCTCACTCTATTGCCCAGGTTGGAGTGAAATGTGGTGATCATCGCTTGCTGCAGTCTTGAACTCCTGGGCTCCAGCAGTTCTCCTGCCTCAGCCTCCCAAGTAGTAGAAATTACAGGTGCATGCCACCATACCTGGCTAACTTTTTTGTTTCGTTTTTTAGAGTTGGGAATCTTGCTATGTTGCCTAGGCTGGTCTTGAACTCTTGATCCCAAGTGATCATCCTGCCTCGACCTCCCAAAGTGCTGGGATTACAGGTATGAGCCACCATGCCCAAATTGGTAGACTTTAAGTAAAGTAGGCTCCCCTCCATAATGTGGGTAGGCCTCATCCAATCAGTGGAAGGCCAAAATAGAGCAAAAGAAACCTTTCCCCTACTTCTCTAGCAGATGCCTTCAGACTACATCTGCAATATCAGCTCTTCCTGGTTCTACAGCAGATGGCCTTCAGACTCAAACTGCAATATCAGAGACTGCCTAGGTCTAATGGATGGATCTCAGCTCACTGCAACCCCTGCCTCCTGGTGTTCGAGTGATTCTCCTGCCTCAGCCTCCTGATAGCCTGGGATTACAGGTACTCACCACCATGCCCCAGCCAATTTTTGTATTTTTAGTAAAGATGGGTCTTCACCATGTTGCCCAGGGTTTCATCTTAATCCTGACCTCAGGTATCACCTGCCTTCGCCTCCCAAAGTGCTGGGTGACAGGCGTGAGCCACCGCGGCCTGGCCAGTAAATCTCTTTCTACATAGTCTCATGTCTTATTGGTTCTGC